GCCGAGCCGGGCTGCCTCCCGGACTGGCACATGCTGTCCCTCTTCGGCGTCGGAGCCGTGCTCATGCGCGGCGCCGGCTGCACGATCAATGACATGTGGGATCGCGACTATGACAAAAAGGTAGAGAAACCCCCCTGGGCTTGCAAAGACCTAGGGAACCGAACTGCTGGTTAATTAACCAAGTACCTGGCCGCTCATCTCCAGCATCGCCAGTGATTCCTTGCTGAGTGCAGGCACAGGGCTCCAGGTTCAGAAATTCCTCCCTGTTTCTCTCTGAGATACATGCAATTAATTTGTCTACATTTCTTCCTGGAATAGTAGAAATAATTTTATTTTTTGTAACATCTTTCTGTCTAGGACTGTAATTAAAGTCTTAGAGTACTTATCTCTGTGTAGGATAAAATACACGTTTGTTGTCGGCTGTAGGTAGTACTTGAACACATTTATTTTTCAACTTTTGTTTTGCATCACAGAACACTTTTTTGCTACACTTACTATCTACCCAAGAACCACTTTTTTTTGTTTGTTTTTTAATTTTCAGGCACAGGGTTTCCTTGAGTATTGTTAATTGCTTCATGAGAATGGCTGTTAAGAGCATCATGCCCAACCCTGAGCTAATAACTTCTATTTTGTGGTTTTATTCAGAAGAGGGAAATAAGCAAAAGGCAGTGCCCAGTCAGATGTTGAAATGTGCACAGGTGCAGGCTTGCAGGGAGGGGAGTATTCTGCTGATGCGTCACTGTTTGCTTGTCCTGTTTTCTGTTCCTGTATTGTTCCTCCGGTTTTGGGGTTTGGGTGTTTGGGTTTCAGCGCTGACAAGAGACAGGATAATGAGCCAAGCCGATACATGACGTTCTTATAGCACTGCTGTATCTGTGCTGTTGGGAAGGCAATGAATCGGTACAGGTTTTCTTACAGATTTGGATGGTTTAGGGTTTGGAGGTTATTAACAACTACATAAGCTTAAAATAGTTGACAGGGTGGGGTGTGTAATTAGTAAGATGGAATTTTCAATGTAATGAATTCATTTATGCATTAATGTAATGTGGTTAGATGTAAAGTTTTAAAAATTCCCATCGCAGCTCTTTCTTACATAATTTAAAAGGATATCTTCAAAACAAGAGGCCAGGTCAATAGCAGGATATTGGCTTGTGTTGGTGACGGTGGTTTGTGGTTTTAGGTTTTATGTTACTGATTATTTGGTAAATGTTTTCTTTAAATGAAACATCCTATGTTTGGTTACGATGTGCAGTGGAATTGGTCACAAATACATTAAGTGCATGTTTAAACTGCAAAAGCAGTATCTGACATTTAACATAACCTGATTGGAGGAAGGAGAACAAACTAGAAGAGTTTAAGTTGACATTATTAAAGCGTATGCAGAACTCTTTATACATACGTAGTATTCTGTAAAAAGTTGACTTTTGAACCTCTTCGAATAGACTTTATACCATTCTCATCAACATGCAAAACTTTTGTCTTTGGTTTTTTTTCCTTTTGGCAATGGCCCTTTGGCAAGTAACTCACCGTACATTTCAGTTTAACTTTTTCTGATATTTGTTTCTTCCTTCAGTTTGCCTTGTATGATTTCTTGTTCCAGATAGTTTCTAAACTTCATTGTATCCTGACTAGGATTAAATTAATTGACCTTTTGTGGTTATTAAAAATGGTTATGCGTGCTAGAGGAGCCCTGCATCTTTACAGTATTTTATGTGGTAATCACTTTCAAGCATTTAAGCACAAAAATGCTGCTTGAAATTGGGATAGTTAGCTCCTAACTTTTTAAGTCTGATTTTTTTTTTCCTAAGGTAATAAAATTCATATACAAGATGTCTACACTGTTTCTAATCAGCCTCATTGCACACAAGTGGCACTTGATTTCTGCTGTAGTTTTTAAAGCCTGCCTGCTGCTACTGTAAGCGCCGCTGCTTAGAAATACAGCTCATGTCTGTGATGATATGCTAGGTTTGTATCATTGAAGGAACCCCATCTCATACATTCTATGACCTGTTTCTGTTTATTTTTCTGCTTGAATGGTGTGACTTTTAGTTTTAAGGTACATTGGAATGTGTTATGTTGGATTTGGTATTAACATTATTCTTTCCATTTTTAGGTTGCAAGGACAGCAAGTAGGCCCCTGGCAGCTGGAGATATCTCCACTTTTCAGTCCTTCGTTTTTCTTGGGGGACAACTTAGCTTGGCACTTTGTGTGCTTCTCTGTCTGAATAACTATAGGTGATGTATAAGTTACCTTTTGTTTTTTAAAATTTGATTCCGGATCCAGAGTTAAGCACAGAGATTTTCAGCAGGTGTTGGGGCCAGCGGGAGGAGGTTATTAGTCGTGGTATTTGAAAGTAAAAGAATCAGTTCAGTACTATGTACAGCTCCAGTAATGCTGCACTATATCTTGTGATCTTTGGACTGGCAAACAGTAAACCTCTTGGTACTTTTTACAGTATTGTTCTGGGAGCAGCCTCATTGTCTCTTGTGATCACCTACCCTCTGATGAAGAGAATAACATATTGGCCACAGTTAGTTTTGGGTGAGCTGGAAACATTTTTACTATTTTTTCTTCAGATGTAGTTTTTGGGGTAGTTGAACTTCAGCAATGTGATTTTTTTGTAACTTTATATTAAAATAAAAATACTTTATAGACAAAAGCTCTGTTGTGCCAGAAGCTTCTTAAACAATTTATAACACGTATAAGAGTTGATGTTTGGGTTTGGGGTTTTTTTGGTTAAAAATCAGTTCCTTATTTTGACAAAGTGAGGGGAGGGAGAAAATAAATATTTGTCATTTGAGAATCAGCTTTAGTTTCAGGGTTGTCTTGAAACCTTTCTTAAACATGCATTTGTCCTGCATTTCAGCCTTCAGCCTCTAAAATAACTCCTGTGCAGAAACTGATGGTGCTCGTATTTCAGGTTGAGCTACTGAAACATATCTTTGTATCTTGGTCTTCACATTCCAGCTGCCTCCAGCTTTTTCAACTAACATTGTCATTTGCAGTCTCCAAGAACCATAGTCGGCTGCTGTACACTCTTTTCCAGACAGTTATACTGACAACTTTTGTGGTACTGATGTCTTAAGCGTTTTAACTTTAGACCTGTTGTTAGGGTACACTGGAATAGTTCTGTGCAAATGTTTCCCTATGCTAATGAAGTCAAATTTAAATTGGGGGAAAATGCGTGGCTATACGTGTTTCTCCTTGTATACCCAGAATATTTAATGTCAAATTACCTGCCTGAAAATAAGTGGTAGAAAAATAGAGATGCCAGTATTGTACAAAAAGCTGCTGATATGATACATGTTCAAACAAATAATATTTAATTCTATACATGTAATTTAGATTGCTCCTGGCAATCTTGTAACTTTTTTTTTTTACTCTCTATGTTTTTAGGACTTACATTTAATTGGGGAGCCCTTCTTGGCTGGTCTGCCATCAAAGGGTCATGTGAGTGGTCTGTGTGTTTGCCCTTATACTTAGCTGGAGTAATGTGGACACTGGTGTACGATACCATTTATGCACATCAGGTAGAGTAACAGTGGGAAATTTTAGGTATCAGTTTATGTTTGTGTGTTTCACTTGCCACTTTGTTGTCAAACAGCAGGACTAACCTCTTGCAGTGCTTCACCCTCAGCTGAGCTAAAACAGCACCAAAGAAACCCCAGCCCTTGCACCTTTTATTGCTGTTTGCGAATGTTTTACATATCAGGTAGAAAGCTGGAAGTATAGTCCACTTTGTGTGCTTACGCATTTGCATTGTGTAAATAAGTTTGACGTTGGTATTAGCTCTTTGCTGCTAAAGCAGCTCTAAGGACCAACCTTCTAATTTAAATTTTGATGTAGGGACCTACAAATGCACTTAAATTGGGTGTTGGAAACTTAAGCAAGCAATTAAGTGTTGGAAACTTAAGCAAGGCCCCCCCCTTCTTATTTTCCTTACAAAGTGGCAGTTGGATTGTGGATTTTTTTGCTCATTCATGCTTTCATTCTAGGATAAGAGGGACGACATCATTATCGGTGTGAAGTCAACAGCATTACAGTTCAAGGAGGATACGAAGCAGTGGCTCAGTGGCTTCAGCCTTGCAATGCTCCTGAGTTTGTGCGTGGCAGGAATGAATTGTAACCAGACGTTCCCTTACTACTCGTCTGTGGCTGCCATAGGAGCTCACCTAGCACACCAGGTTTGATGGATTTATTTATACTTTCTCCATGTGGAAGTTTTTGATAAGAAATCAGGGTGCTTTTCAACACCCATCAATTTGCCAACTACTTAAAAAAACAATTCCTGTAAAGAGAACTGAAGTCTTCTGACAATAAGCTCTCTTCTCTTGAGTACTTTTTGAAGACCTTGTGTTTGAAAAGACCTCCAGTGGTCCACAGACTGTAGAGCACTGGTTTCCATCCGTTCCTAACCAAAAGAACTGCTTTGTGTTAAGCTGGGATCTCAAGGGTGCAGTTTTTACTGTTCTGATAAAGTTCTTGCTATGTCTGGTGCATGTGATCTGAGACTGCAATTGATGTATATTATGATCATTCACTTACTTTAAAAGATTATATGGTCTACAGTATCAAGGACACATGCAGGCTTTTTTTTATAACATGCTGTACAGTAGCTATATGAAAATGAATGTTGCATGTTCTGTCTCTCAGAGATCGTTAATTTTACATCTGAATAATTATTCTGTACTGTGGTCTAGAGCTTCAGTCTGAGGTCTGACAGTAAAACAAAATTTTCTATGGCTTGTTCACTACCACCTGTAGTAGATGTTAATATTATAATTTTCTGGTGATTGACAGTTCTAATTCACGGGTCTTTTTATAGCAGAGAACAATCAAGTTCAGTGTAGTAGTTGTATTAGTTTAGAAATTTAAATTAATAACAGAAAGAAAGAAATTAGCTTTGTCAGTAAAGGAAGCAGGTAGGATCTCGTTACCCTGTTCTTTCTGAATCCTAACAATTGTGTTGCCCAGTCTTGCAGTGACAAGTCAGCCTATATGAAAATTAATTGCTGGTCTTCACAGGTGAGTGATAGCAAAGAGGTTTGAGCATTGCAAGTAGTAAAACCATCCACAGTCTGAGAAGTTAAGTCTGTGGTAACCACATGAAACTTTTTAAAGCGCATTAAACTTACATTAAACTTTTTAAAGCGCATTAAACTTACATTAAACTTTAATGGGGGGAGCTCATGCAGGTGATAGATATTAAGCATACCTCTGAGTAAGAGAATTCTTGTGATGAGGTAGTCTGGTACTTGTCAGCCACTGCTCTTCATAGCACTTGTGCTAGGAAATCTATGAGGGAAAGAATGCTATGTTCCGCTGCATAATCATTTACAGTTTGAATAGTCAGAGAGGCCTTGCATTGTATATTTGGCACAAATGGAAATTACTTTCCCGCAGGGAGGGTTTTCATAAGTGAGAATGCAGACCTACTGAATGTAAATGGTGAAGAGTGCACAACAGTTCCCAAAGTCAGAAGAGCAGCATTGTTTGTGTACCACAGAGTAGCGTCTTTTTGAGCGATTATTTTAATATTAGTTCTGCCTAAACATTCTCGTGCTTATCTTCTTGTTAAAGATTTCTGAACATGTGCTTAACTAACTGAGTTTAGAAAGCTGAGTAATCTGCATGAGGGGTAGATTTTCCTTAATTCATTGAATTTGTGCCTGAGACAGAGGAATTTGGGTCATGAAGATGTCAGATTTCTATCCCACTCAAGAAGCTCACCGATAGAAAAATAACATCTTTTATTTGCTTTGCATTTCTGAAGGTATATCTCATGGCTTGGCTGCTGTTGGGTTTTATTTGTCAGTTCAGTGTTTTCAGTTCCCTGTGCTGGAGGGGATGACAAGTTTTCAAGGGTGTAGATAACATCAAGTCTTAAAAGCTTGTGGACAACTTTTCAGATTCTTTGATCAGAACCCAGCCCTGTCGCCTTTGTACAACCACAAATGGCAGAGGAACAGGTTTCCCAGGGAAGGTTTCACTTCTTTTAGTTGGATACGTTCTCTTTTGACTTCTTCAGAGGCTGAATTGCAGCGTTTGAGGTTTTGGGGGGTACTTTTCTATTAATCCTTTCACTTGGTTTGTTTAACATGCCCCTTTGTCATCCTTCTCAAGACTGCTGCACCAAATTTTGTTTCTGTGAATATTTTTCAGTAACTTTGCTCTTGCTGCACTGTGGGTTTTTTTACCTTTAGTTGTGACTCACAGCAGACAGCTGCCAAGCTGGGAAAGCCTTGCTTCTAGATGTTGCAGGTGTCCTGCAACAACTCTTTTTGCAAAAAGACTTGAACAGACATGGCCAAGAGCCACTGGACAAAACCAGCCCTGTGTGACTAGGCAGCACCGGGCACCTTCCTATGCATTCCAGTTAGCCTGGTTCACTGCTGGCTCTCCAGTGCCTTGTCACTCCTGAAACACAGAGCAACACCTTGCAGCAGAGGTTTAAGGGTGCAGACAGGTTTTGGGGGTTTTATTTTTGTTTAAAGTTCTCATGGAAGAAATAGGTGGCTACCTACTGAAGAGAATCTCAAGAAGACCTATTTACATGCCCAGATATTTTTACATTTTAAAATATCAAACCAGGCACATCAGTATCCAAGCTGTTTATACGGTCCTTCATTGAGAGGGTCTGGGAATCATGTTCATATGTGATCCTTGACTTTCCTGCTGTATGTTGAATAAATCTGTCAAATAAACATAGATGCCAGTTATGCAAAAAATCCTTTGTAAGCACAAAGTATTCCTGTTTATTGTGGAGGTAAGGGTAGACGTTAGAATTTGATATGCAGTTTTTGAAGATACAGACCTTTTTGTGTCTTTTTGTGATGTGTCAAATATTTATGAGTCTGTAGAATAATAATGCTCGAATGTTATACTGTGTTTTTGCAGATTTATACTTTGGACATAGACAAACCTGAAGACTGTTGGAAGAAATTTGCTTCCAATCGTACTGTAGGAGTTCTGCTCTTCACAGGGATTGTGCTTGGAAATCTGTGGAAACAAAAAGACTCAAAAAATGTAGAAGAGCCTTTAGAAAACAGGTAGTTGAAATTGCTGTAAATACTGATATTTTAGTGCAGCTAAAATGTAAGTACTGTAAGAAGGAAAACACTTTGAATATAACTAAAGCTGCTTTATACTGTTTATTTATAAAAGCTGGTGAAAACATTCTTGTTTCTAAAAACATGCAAATGAGATTATCCTACAATGTAAATTTTTATTATCTTTAAATGACTTCAGCCTCCATAGAAGCTTCAACAAGTGAAGCTTCTCTGCTGGTCCCGTGTAGTACACGGAAACTTCTGTTAAGCTCAAGACTGTGAGTCCAAGATTTTATACGAAACAGATGTCTCCTAGTGACAGCACATGGGAAAATGCAAAGTGATTTCAGGATGTAAATACAATCTGTCTGTATATGTTTGGTGTTCTGATTTATTACATGAATAATTTTCAGTTTGAGTTGGAGCTTGTTGCATAAAAGAATTGCAGTAACAATTTTTATCTAGAAGGAGCCAGGACTCTGTGAGTGTGTGAGGTCCAGAATAGAAGTCAATGGAGAAGTATTTAAAATTACCTTTTGCTCTTGCTGTGATTGCTGGCAGTGGTTCCTTTTCACGTGAAAAGAACAGGCTTCTGCAAAGTTGCTTGCACAGAGTGAGCCAAGCTCGTTTATCAAGAATGTTTTGAACACAGACTTAAAACAAAAACAGAGCAGCCGAGAGCTATTGCCAAGTATGCATGACTGGTAAGTTGACCCTGAGCTATGAATTTATCATGCAAAGTAATTCTCATTTTTTAAATTTTTTAATTCTGTTTGTTTTGATTTATGCCTACTGGTTTTATTTGTAGTCTTACAGGAAGAACTTTTTTATAGCAGGATGCCAATAAGCAGTAAAGATAGCAACCGCAAGCTAACAATTACATTGCTCCAAATTGTTCATGTTTTCAATTGGTTTATGCTCTCTCAGTTACATGATTTGCATGGTAGTTAACCTTTACTTTGACTCATGGTGTTAAAGAGCTTGTATGGCGTGTTCTGGAATTAATTTCTGTGGAAGGAGCAACAGACACACCTGTTCCAGGAAAACGATAGGGTGGAATTTACCGCAGTTTGCATACTGGTAGGCAATGCAAGCGCGCTTTTCTCCACAGGTGGCTTTGCGTATGCCTGCACGCAGGGCTGTGGTTCGGTGAGGCAGAGGGTTTGGTTACCAAGCTCATTATGGTATTCCAACAACCTTTCCTGATATCTGCTCTGCTCCTTGAGTGGTGGGGCACAACTGTGCGTGCAGTTGCACCAAAAATAAGGCTGCGTCCTGCTCTAGCTCTGAAGATGGGTATCATATTTTAAGGTTATTTAAACCGATATATGTCTGAGAGACATTGCAGTCCAGGGACATGCATTCAGGGTTTGCTAACTGTAGTTTTGCGTTACCGATGATGGTGGACGGGGAAGAAGTTCCTGTTGCAGGGGAATGAGAAAGCATATAATGAGTCAATGGCTTTGGTCACAGAAGATCCTTTTTGGGGCTGGAACAGAATTCTGTGGGTTCTGAACACTTCTTTTTAATGTACAACTTGTAAAGGTGTTTTTTCTTTTACTATTTAAACAAATGATGTCCAAGATATTTTGAGCAAATTAGAACGAGGAGATTTTTCAGCCTGGCTGCATGTAAGATAGAAATATGTGACAATGTTAGGAAGTGTAACTGCTTTTAGTGATTCTGCTTTTAGGGCCTCTTTGGTCCTTACACAGAAGTTGTTCTTAAATAGGGTTTATAATTTTGGGGTGGAAGAAGTACCCAGTTGAAGAAAAGCAGTTTAAAAATTAAGAACAATAAGCTTCTGAACAATTATGTGACAAAGCTGCGTTTTGTAGAGAGAGAATTGGATGCATCCAACTTCATGTTGAACTTTGGTTATAAGACATTTGCTAGTAATAAAACGCCTTGTGATATAATTAGTATGGATCAGTTTCTTAAGACTTGTAATATCACCTTGGAGAGGTTGTGGCAAAAGTTATTCACCCATTTTCAAATTAAAGTGTCTTTAAGTAGTTTTGATTTGGGATGAGCTCACATTTTGTAGTGCCTTTCAACCTACTGGTGTCCTTTGTCTGATGACAACTTGTCACAAGCATTTGTCTTGTAATGAGAGGAGGAAGGAGGTATAGCTAAATAGAGTAAAAATTCAAGTTTAAAAACAGTCCTCATGTCCTAAACTTGAAAATCATTGCATGTTTTCTGTGGGGATTTTCCAAATTCATCTCAAAATGCATTTTACAAAGATAAGCCATAGCTGTATTTTAGGTTCATTGCCTGAAAAATGAAGCAAAGTTTAGATTCTAGGCCATAATACTGAGAGTGTTATTTGTGTGAGCATTTTATGATTAATACACAGAAATAAGAAATAGCTTTTTAAGTGTAAAAGAGACGAAGGCTGAACTACTTCCTGGCTAAAACCCTGTTTGTATCTGCTGGCAGGTATATGTGCATATCTTTTCTTCTCTTTCCATTCCCAAACTATTCTATTCCAAATCTTCACGAAGACATTCTCCACTGTATTTAGATACAGTCTGTTAAAAATTTCCCAAAAACACCTACCTCTAAGCAGCAGCTTCATTATTAGCTAGCGTGCTTTTGTACAAATAAACAGTGTCCTCTGGAAGTTTCTTCTCTGGTGTGAAATGTTTCATTTCTCCTCCCCTTCCTTTTCCAAACGTTCCTCCACAGGACGTTGAGATAAATGCTTTTGGAGGCAGCAGGAAGGTCCAGTGTGCCTTGCAAAGGCAAATGTGAAATGCTGGCAGTTGCGCAGCGAAACAGAAAACTCTGTAACCAACACAAACGCTTGCCTTTGTGTGCTCCCGTTGTACTTTGTAGAACGGCATATCGAAGTGATACCATCTCTTTGTCCAGGAGTAGCTGTAGGTAGGCAGGGGTGCTAGTTCATGTGAGGATCCGGGGAGGGCTTGCCAAGGCATCGGCAGCCCTTCGTGGTGGGGCTGGGTCTTTGACTCAGAAGCCCACTTGGGGACCGTGACACATGGAGGTTTTCACACTCACTTTTGCCAAGGGCAGGGACTCCCCATAGGGTCATCCAAGGCAAATTGTGCCTAGATTTTGCTATTAGTGTATTTCTTGGTAAATATGGCATTGTTAATGCGTGGGGGTCAGATTTTTCCCTCCCTCTAATTTCAAGAAAGTATGCACTGCAGGCACCTAGCTCAGGAACTGTGGTGTGCAAACAGCACGGGCCGGAGGACATGGGGTAGCATACCATGGGTTATGGAACCTATGAAAAAGGTGGCTCGACTCAAAGTCAGAAAGGTGTGTCAGCACGTGGAAAGATCAGAGCATCCTGTGGGCTGAAGTCACTAAAAGCCAGGTGAAAATTAAGGTAACCCATCGCCCGTACCAGCATGGCATTGTGGTTAGCCAGTATTCAACGAAGATGCTGAAAGCACAACCATTGTGATGAAGGACTGGTGTGGTAAGCAGAAGCAGGAGAATGTACAAAAAAATGTACAAAACAAAGCTGACAAGAAAAAATGTCGATGTTAACCAGCCATGGATAATGTGAAGTTTCGGTACTACCTGAAGGCTCCTGGCGTACTGGAAAGGTGAGTTTCCTGCAGTGCCCCCCTGTAGTTTGTGATGGAGGCAAAAGGCCAGAGTAAATTCTAGCACTGTGTGTGAGAGATGCTGTATCAGAATTACAAACGAAATTGAAAAAAACCCTGTTGATTTCACAGCACTTTTCCTGGATGGTGGTGTTTAAAAAACCACCACCTCCCTATCCCCAGGCAGGCAGCTGTACACACCTGATTTTGTCAGAGCTGAGCAGGTAGAGGTCTAATACAATTAAAAACCCAAAACAAAACCAGCCACAAAAAACAGTGTTCAAGTGCCAAGTTCAAAACTTTTAAAAACACGGCTTTAATTTCTGGAAGAGTGAGTGGAAATCCTTACCCTAATGAAAAAAAACCCAAACCCAAACCTACCCCTGAATGTTTACACCAGCAGAGCACAATTCCTCCAAATTGCAGAGCTTCGTGGCTAAGGCATGTAGAGTAACAAGGAGAAATACCTAATATAAAATATGTTGCTTCAACTGCATGAAGAACAGAACCAAGCCTGTAACAAGCTGGGTGGTAGTGGGGGGGAAACAACTGCATGCCTATTCCACAGTACCTTGGTTTTTTTCCTGGAGTGGCATCAAAGTATTGTTCAGCTCTGAATGAAAAGTATATTGAAGGGAAATAATTTTATCTGCAAGTTAACTCTGCAGGCAACAGCACATGCATAGCATGGGGGACTAGTGAGAAAAAGTGTAAGTGGCTGCTTAATAGAAGCCCTGTGTGCATTTTGTGTTGGCTGTCATGCTGTAGCATGGCCAAATATTTGTCAAACATATTTTTTAGCTTCATCAGAGCTTTTTTCCCCCAAATGCTGTCATGCTATTAATCATTTTTTCAGGAAATACATAAATTGAAATAGAAGCACCTGAGAGAATAATGAAGGAAAGCACAGATTTAGGTACACCATAATGTGTTTTTTGGCAATACTTGGATTTCTGTTGTGCTTTATTTAAGCATTGGTTGGAAGGGACCTTAAAGAATTTATTTGCTTTGTGTTGGCATGTTGCTTCCCCCCCGCCCCACTTCCTCGTGCACGACACCACACAGTGGATGCAGTAATGCAACAAATGAAAGATTTGACAGGCCACTAGAAAAGGTGTCGCGCTGACCCTATCTGTCAGACAGAGGGGCTGGGAGATCTTCTGTCTCCTTCCTGCCTGGGAGAAGACCCCAGGGCAGAAAGCCAAGGCTGTGTAAGCGCAGGTTGTCCGTGAAGCTCATGAGGCTGGGGTCACTCTCAGCAGGATAAAGGACAGGCTGAAGGTTTGGTGTTGCAGTGCACACCTCCTCTCCCAGGTGACAGGTGATAAAGACCTGGTTGCTCAACCCCAAGCAGGGCTCTGTCACCTGCAGGTTCATCCCTTGTTAGGTCTCTATCTGGTGAAGGTGCTCTCCACAGCTGGCCTGCCACCAGTGCAACCCAGGTACCAGTCTCCTGGTTTTTCTGGTACGCTGGGTAGGATGGGGTGAGTATC